CAATATCAAAGTGGGCTAGAATAGTATAATTAACCCATCTAATGACCTCTTACATGTGATTTAGGGTGATTAATTGGTTATTGCTATAATAATGTACAATAATTATTTTCAACTACAATTTCCTAATCGGAAAAAACGTAAAAATGTTAGAATAAAGAAAACAAAGCCGATCAGGGCAAAGCTATACTGTCTCCCACTTGTGATTAAGACATCTAAAGCACTTTCACATTTTTTCCATATTTGGAAATTGGAAAGGAATATTTTATTTGCACAAATAATTGCTAGTTATTACATTTTTCCATATTTGGAAATTGGAAAGGGATATTTTATTATCACAAATAATTGTTAGCTATTGATGTGTAGTTACTTTTCATTTTTCTTACTTTTTTTTTATTAAACTTATTATATTCTTTATTTATTTAACTTTTAAAATTCTTTTACTTTAATGTAATATTTTGTTGGCTTTTGAAATGTAACCTTTCCCTGGAAGAAGTCATTAAACTAATCTATTTCTAATTTTATATTAAGATGGATAAATAAAAATGTTTTTTTTTTAATTAAAAAGCTTTTAACATATCTAGCAAAGCTACAGGTTTGAAGCGGATCGGGTCTTGATCCAAACTCATTAAGCAATTTTTAAACGATGACCCAAACCCATCCGTAACCCTTTGAATAATTGAACTCATATTTTTTATCCACCGGATTAAAAGATTTTCAACCCTTTTACCCGGCGCATTTATAATATTAAGATTTTGGTTATAATTATGCACTACAACACATAACATGAATCACTAAAAAGTAAAATCAAATGATTTTCATTCCAAAATAAATTTCAATTATAACTTAATAGATAATATTACCAAAACAAAACAAATGTCTATTATTACAAACTTGTATGATTTCACATAGTTATTTGCATTGAGAATCAACTAGAATTCGGCTATTAGGAACTGAGAAGTAGAAATGGAATGATCGAACTCCTTAAGTCTTATACTAAACATTGTATCGGTGGTTGATAGATGTATAACCTATAAATAATAAATTTATATTTTAAATTTTTAGACGGAACACGTCATAAACGGTTCGGATCGATAGTGATCTATACCAAACCTTTTTAATAAAAAGAGCTAAAATTTATGTGTCATTAACGGGTAAACGAATCATAAAATATGATCCAAACCCATTAACTTTGGACGAGTTTGAAGCGGATCAGGGTCAAAAACCCATTAACTTTGGACGAGTTTGAAGCGGATCAGGGTCAAAACACATTCTATTGTTAGTTCGAAGTTTTAACTATTACTAAAACTGTGTTTCTATTACTTCTATTTAATATAATTAGGTGTGCCACTTATGATATTTTTATATAATAAACTTATTAAGAACGTGAATCACGCAAAACACCGAGTATATATATTCATTTAAATAACACAATTTTTTTTATCATATCTATTATCATAAAAAAAAACATTTTACCACAATTCACAAAGAGTTGTTTGAATTATTTGATGGTCCTTTTGATTATATTTTCCAGAAATGGAGCTACCATTATATGTAATACATGGACAGAAATGAACATTTTAAAACTAAATCGCTTAAATGAAGTTTATATCTAAAGTGTAATAATACACTCATTATATTGCAAGTACTATTTTGATGATAACTTGCTTTTTTAAACTAGATTAAACTAGAATGAAGTAAAAAATGAATTTACTGAAAGAGAAAAATAATAAGTTAGAATTTCGTGTGGCATTTTATTCAAAATAACAAATTAGCTAAGTAAATGTGGTAATTAGTTAAAATTCGTTTCGTATTGTAACACCTATAAAAATCAAGCAAATTTAAAACTTTTTCAAACATCTAAAAGCCATTAGTTATCACAAAGTGTTTTCAAAATAGTTTAGTATCAGAGTATCCCAGAAACCATAAGTCCCAAAACACGAGAATGTGTACGGTCATGCCTTTGCATTGCCAAGTCATCTGAAGTACCTGAAATAATAAACTGAAACCGTAAGCTTAGTGAGTTACCCCCAAAATACCGATACACATACAGTCCACGTAACAATATCAGCAATATCATAACATAACAAACTAAACAACATGCAATGGGTTCACAACTTTACAAACTGGATTACCCCTGGGCCCATAGTGTGAGTCTGGATTGCCTTCCGGGCCCACAGATCACATCTGGATTGCCACTGAGCCCATAGTATGAGTCTAGCATGCCTTGCCCGGCCCTCAACTCATATCTGGAATACTGTAGGATTTGTTGGCTATCGCACGGAGCAGTACAACCTCAACCCATCCCACATAACATGTCGACATGTAACATAACTAATGCACATACGGATAATCATACAGTATCACAGGTAGTCCTACAGGTTTACCCGACTAGCATATCAACTGACATACTTCACTAACTCTAACTCAACATATCGATAACTACTAGGATATCAAATCCAATGGGCTGACCTTGGTGCCTTAGACCCCTTAGTATAGTGATGATAACTCACCTGGCACGGCTGAAGTCCCGCAGATAAAACTCCAGTTGCTGGTTGACAGATTCCCGAACTGTCAACATCAAACAATACCCAATTAATAATTGGGTTCCAAGTCTAAATTCCAACTCACACTACAAAATCCCAAAAGTCAAGTAATAGGCCAAAGCCCAACATATGGACCAATTTTCCAAACTGGGCCCAGACCCTTACATGGTTTTTCCTTAAGGCCCATCCAATTATTCTAGTCCAAACTTTTGGTATTCCCATGGCCCAATATCATATAATCATAAAGGTGCAATTATGGCCCATCTATGGCCATATTTTCCAAATTGGGCCCAAGACTCTCACATGAGCCTTATCCTAAAATCCATACAGTTATTTAATCTATTTACTTATTCTTGGAAAGCTTATTAATAGTCTAATCACCAAAGTCCAATATAAAAGCCCAACTTAAGGCCCAAGTGAAATGAGGGTTTTCATATAAAATGATAATTAGGGTTAAGTGTTCCTACTTAACCCATTAAGGACTTAAGCCATTAAGGTCTTAATCCATTAAGTCCAATATTGCTTTAGATTAATTTTTTTTGTCAATGATTATCATTTTATATTTCAAGTTATTAAATAATTCCCGTGCATGTGTCCCGATCAATTTCCACAAATTAGGGTTTTCCAAACCTTAATTAGAGTTTTCCAAACCTTAATTAGGGTTTTCCAACCCAATACTAGTTCATTAGTCCATTGGTTGGGCTTTTAGGTCACATTGGGCCTTATTGGCCCATTAGGGTTCCATTGGGCCCACTAGGGTTTCATTGGCCCATTTTTGTCCAATCATCCCAAACATGGTCCAAACGCAATCAAAGCACACCGCCACCCAACACGGCGGCCGGTGGCGGTAGCCACCACCCTACGGTGGTGGTTTAGACTTTTCTTTCATTATTCCCATGCTATTACAACTTACAACAATACTCAACACACACATACTCACATAAAACTAACACACACACATATACACACTAGTTAAACCCACACACAGCCACACTGTGGCGGCAGACGGTGGTTGGAGGTGGCAGCTGTTGGGTTTTGAGCATTCTAACACTCCTATGGTGTACATGCAACCCTAAATACATTGGATCTATGTTTTCTCTAATATACATGCAAATACTAATATTCCAAGGTATTACCCTATCTAGCATACAATCATAGATACTTGGGTAATAATATAGATAGAATGCACACCTCTTGTAGTGTAGCTTGACTCC